GAATCACTTAAGGAATAGCAATACTTCACAATCTTCAAAGATGCCTTCACCAAACTTCGACACTTTTTTCCCTTAAAGCACAAATCAGAAGTAAAGGACCTGCTTGAAAATTTCATAGCTCATGCTAAGAACTTAAGGTATAAAGTTAAAGAAATCCTCAGAGGCAAAGCTGGGGAGGTTGACAACCAAGCAGTTTGAAAGATCTTGTACAAGCATTGAATCTCACACAGGCTCACAGCTCAATATACACCAGAGTAAAATGACAGAGCTGAACGAGAGCACAGAAGTTTTCGAAATGGCCAGAACTCTCAAATATTCGATTGAAGAAGTGAATTTTCCTGCTTTCCTATAAGCAGATTTCATCAGTTTACAAACTGAACAGGATGGGCAAGTTTTCAATTCCTAATCCAAGTCCTTATGAATTATTGAAAACATAGGAGAAACCTAGGATAAAATATGTGCATCATTTGGATCAGCCTATTATAATCATGTCCCAGTTCAGAACAGGGGAAAGATGGACAAAAAAGCAACTAAAGGCTACCTTCTTGGGTATAATGGAGATAAAAGGTACCACACAAAGAAACCAGCACAGTAATCTGTGTCCGAGATGACACATTTGAGTAGAAACCTTCAATGATAGAAAATATTATAATACTACCCCTCCAAAAAACTTCTAAAGAAAACCAATCTCAAGATGATGATGCAAATAAAGTAAGAACAGATGAAGCCTCAAAACAGAAAGAAAAGGATGTGGAAGATATACCAGAAAAGGATATTCAGCCCAGGAAAAAAATTTCAAGTGGACAACAGACATTTTGGAAAATTCAGAGATTTATGAAGAAAATCTGCCAGAAATAAATGGAACTGCAAGTGGGATGCAGTGCAGCTGACAATTCAAGAAACAGGAATGTTAAGACTCAATACCCAAGAAAGTGTTTCCGATGGATCCTTAAACTTTGAAGACGCATTAATTAACTAGTCCAGATGCAGAAAAAATTGGAAGTTAGCCATGGAAGACAAACTGAGAAATTTAAAAGGAAGTGAAACTGGGACATACTGCCTAGGCCAAAAGAAAGGAAAGCTGTGAAATGAAAGTGAGTCTTCAATAGAAAACTTAATAAAGATGAACAGGTGGAAAGACACATTAGTCGCTTGTGGCTACACCCAAGTTGAACGAATTGACTACAAGATGTTTTCTCCTGTAATAAAAACAAAATCAAGTAGAGCTTTATAGCATTTTCAGTTCAGCAAGACTAGCCAGGTTCATCAGTTAGATATTACCACAGACTATTTAAATGGAAAATTAAGTGAGACAATTTTCATGGAACAGCCATCAGTGAGTCTACACGTAAAACCACATGGAGAAGTTTGGATGTTAAATACAAGTCATTATGGACTTCCATCAGTCTGGGAGAGAGGGGAATCATTTGCCTGGATAAATTTCTCAAGTCAGCTAACCTAACAAGATCCAGAGCAGATCCTTGCATCTACTTCAATGAGGAAAAAGAGTTCATCATAGATGTGTATGTGGATAACCTCCTTGTAATGTCCAGCTAAGTCTCCGTCATTCATGAATTTAAGAACAATATTGCAGCCACATTTAAAATCAAGGACTTGAGAGAGATAAGCATAAGGGAAGATGGCTCAATGACTCTCCATCAAAGTATATATAGTAGTGAGCTCTTGGGAACGATATGCTAGATGCTAGAGAAGCATCAAAACCAATATATCAGTCATTAAGCAAAACCAGGTTAGATGGTGAAAGGGACACTAAAATACAGGCAGGCTGTTGGAAGACTTTCGTACCTGGCAGGAGAAAGAAGGCCCGATTTTGCCTTTTTAACCACTTACATGAGCCAGTTTGATAATTGTCCAAGTAAGGTATATTATTGGACTGGCAAACAATGGTGAATCTTCAGATTATGGTGACTTGGCGATTTTTTTTCCGACCAACCCTGCTACAGCAACCCGCTAGTTTTTTTTTTTTTTTCACTCAACATTTTTTCCAACAATCTGCTAGCCAAATTACGTTTATGCTAGAACTTTTATGGAACAAAAGTGCTTAATCATGACGAAGATTAGGTGCGAGATTGGGAGATAGTGCAGAATCGCCCACCGCTTTGCACGTTTTTAAGAATTGCACATACACAGTACCCATATACACGTCGATCTATTTTCACTTATTGCGCACACACTTGACTTTATCCATGTAGACATCGACCTATTTTCACTTAAAAAGTCAAAGAAACTTGACAAAAATCCAATTCTTACTCTTGTAAAAAGCGCCAAACAAATAAGTGGGCGATTCTGCACTTTAGCAGCGAAATTGTTTCTAAGTGCTTATTAGCTAAAATCACAATCGGAATTTTCCGGAAAATGTCACATAACATGTCTCATGATCTCTCATTTCTCCGAGACAAAACAATCTGTGATTCGAACTGTGTACTTCTCAGATTATTGCTGAAGTCCTACCTAGTAGCCTTTATCACCTTACCAAAATGTTGCCAAACTACCTGTTACCATATTCCAAAGATTAGCCCAAACAACATATTTTTCGTTACCTAAAACAAACCAAAGAATTAAAACTGACTTTCCAAAGAACTGGAAAAGATTTGAAAGTGTTCTCTGATTCCAATTGGGCTGGTGATATGATCGATGCATAATCATTTAGTGGCTATGTTGTATCACTACGAGATGGAGCTGTCTCATAGAGCAGTAAGAAGCAACAGACAAATACCTCGTCAACAGCTGAAGCCGAGTACTTCTCAATGTGCCATGCAACCAAGGAAGTGGTGTGGTTCCAAAACTTTTTGCAAGAAATTGTGGAAGAAGATATTTTGAACTTTCTACAAAACATATTTGTTGATAACCAGGACACTATTTCTTCAACTAAAAACCACGTTACTTCAGAGCACAACGAACACATTGAATGCAGGCAATTTTTCTTACGGCAAAAGGTTAAAGAGAAGTTGTTGAACTTTACCTAAGATGCAGCAGAAGACATATTAACTAAGAGCATGCTAAAGAAAGCTTGTATAACCAAAGGTTCAGTGTAGCACTGAAGGAAATTTTATCAAAGGGGAGTGTTGCAAATAATTTTCATATTTGAAATTTCCCATTATATTTTTATAACCTGTGTGGCAACACAGTTTTTTACTTCTTTCTGGCAATGGTTTCATTAGTTCTCGCAGTTAAAATTTACTCTACAGTACCTCTTGGCGAACTGTCTCTTTTTTGGCGCCAAGATCGGCACCAATTTCAAGATAGTGGCGAACTTTCCGCCCACTCCACAAAACTACTATTAAAAATTAATAATCTAAAAAGTATTTAAAAACTCTTTAAAAGCTATTTTTAATTATGATTTACAAAAGTAAGAATCCAACCACTTTAGTGGCATGACTATCTCACTCAAAAGAGAAAATATTAATTTTTAAGTCCGCAATTTTATTCTGGACAAAAATTTTTGGTTTAATCCTAGTATCCGGTGCACACGGGATTTGACTGCTTTTGGCGACTTTATGATGAGCAGTAAAAACGGGACATAAACGATGAGTAGTGAACGGGTCATTCAAAGAATATACATAGTTATATATAGTATATATTATGTATTTGGCTCTAGTGTAGAATTGGGTGCCCCTTCGATTAGCGACAATGTTTTGTAAAATTTTGGCGATGAAATCGTATTTCTGGTTACTATGATAGTGTAACTCTGCTTTAGCATCCTGATTTTTTTTAAATAAAAATAGATTGATGTGTACATGGACAAATTTAAACAGTGCGCAATGCCTAGTTTGTGCAATTCTGGGATGTTTTTTTAAGTGAAAACAGATCGATGCGTACATGGACACACAGTTTATGCAATTCTTTGACTTTTTATTTTGGTTTTGTGTAGCGGCCATCTTGAAATTGTGTCTTCCTGACGCCGATCTTGCCGTCAAAAAAGAATCTCCAAAAAACAAGGGACACCCAATTGTAAACTTTTACCATGTATTTACACACATAGTGTATAGTATATAGACGTTCTTTGGATCATTTTTGGTGTTGGCGATAATTTTCAAAATCGCGCCAAGGCTGCACCGTATACTAGGATTTTACCAAAAAATTTTTAGTGTAAGGAGATTAGATGAATCTATGCTTAAAATAAAAATAATTCAGAATTTAAATTTAATTCATGGAAAATGTGTTTAAGACCTTAAAATATAAAGTGTCTGATAACTTTTGTGAGACTTACTATGACTGGAACATTAATCGCTATCATTCTCCATGAATGTACATACAAAAGATAAGAACCTATAACATGTAGTTTCTATAAAACTTCTGTGAAGAATCTGTCCCCAGCTTGCAAAAGGATAGATAATAGTTTACCTTGTGAAACATAAAATTGCTGCTTTAAAATGAATAGAAAACCCACAGCTTTAGATTACACAAGTAAAATAACACTGCTGAATTCCAAGCATGTTCTCAGCAATCTTAAAACTCAAAGTTTGGAAAATACATACTATCATATTAATAGCAGAAATATATAAACGTAGAAATTCAGATATTTTCTCTTTACCAAAGTTAAAAATTTACACATAACACTATACAATACTATTAGAAATACGAAGAATACATTACATTAAGAACAAAACGAACACATTACAGCATCGCAATTATTTTGAAGTCAGACATGAGCTTGTCAGAGATTCTGTCTCAGCTTGAATTCAATGATAGAAATGAATTCTGACCGGCATATTTCAACGAAATTTAACAACATAGTTGACCGACCATGCTTCTTAGCCATAGAAAGTGCACGTGTTCCTTTGTTCAAATCGAAACAGAATACCCATATCCCATAAAGTATTACAATTATTCAACAAACAAGAAAAATTAAACAATCACGGGGTAAAAGGGCATTAAATTCTAGAAGAGTAACTCAGCTTTGACGTTAAAGTAGCACTACAGATTCCATGAAATCCAAACTACACATGCTACGTACTAGTACGAAAATTACAACTTACCTCTGCTTTTGTTCTGACATTATTGTCAGGGGATAATAGATCAGCTAAAATAGCACAGAAAGTTTTGAAATCTGTAGGCATTTCACTTTCAGAAGACATTTTCTTTTCTTAACATCACAGAACACAATGTTCGATTTTCAACTGTCGGTCACTCTGCGCGCGCAATGCCACATTTTCTAACGTTGATCGTTTTAGTCGTTTCGAATTCGGTGATTATTTTCAGGGGCTAAGCCAATGCTATATGCAAAATACGGAATGTAGTCCACAAAAATGCAAAATAGGGAATGTTAACATCAGTAGGATATGAAAAGTGATTAAAAGGGTGATTCTTTCGGATTAATGACGTTTGTGTTAGAATGCAGTTAATCAACAGCGTATCACTTGATCTTACTCTTAAAGATTGTTATGAATCAGTACATGTTTGTTGATAAAAGAAATATATATATATATATAAATCGAGAGAAATTGTAACGAACACAGAGCTTAACCCTTTCAGGACCAACGTCACGTATACGCGACACAACTGTTGCAACTCTCAGCGCTACAACGTGCAGGTTACAAATTAAATAATCACAGCAGGGATTATTAATATAAAGATTTAATATGGATATCTCACACAAGCTGAAAACGTTACATTACTCCATCAAGTGCATACATAAAACTGAGTGAAAAGGGAATTTCCCCGCTTAGTTCGCAGTTAAAGAAAAAAAATACGAATAATAAAAAAAAAAGTCAAATCAAATGCGGGGCTCCTTCTGTGAACTTCGCACAGCCGTTACGTAATCGTCTGTCTGCAGCAGCCGTCTCCAACATTCTCCCCCTCTTTGAGTCGACTTCAGGTTGCCTTAAAGACATACAGTACCTGGTCGAAGAGATCTAATCGATCTAATCTCTGAGGCACCTTGATCACAAGTCCAAATCTTGACACTTTAGCACCTTGCAGGATGTTACTAGAGTCCTTTGAAGAGTCATTAGAATCTGAATGCTCATCACTAGAAATAGAAGAAATAGGATTAGTAAAGGAGTTATCGTGTATGGGATCAGTGGGCGTGTCCGTTAACTGCACTTCCAATGGAAAGACTCGCTGAATGGGACGAAGCAGGATACCAGCTTGAGTCTTTAGTTCTACAGTTCTCATCTTGCCATCTTTTCCAGGAATTAGTCGAATGACCTTAGCTAAAGGCCAATGCATCCGTTTTTGGATGTCATCTCCTATTTGGACAATTTCACCCAACCGTAGCTCTGACAATGGATCCTTCTTATTTTGGACCAGAACGCCTAAATATTCTTTCCTAAATCTATGCCTCAAATCATTAAGCAGTTTTTGGCGATGTATAGCCCTTTTTCGAAGACATTTCGAATCGCAGAAATCCACATCAGGAACACCTAAGCTACGATTCTCGATGAGAAACATGGCTGGGGAAAGTGGGATTAGATCATCCAAATTTTTGGACAGATAGGTAAGAGGTCTAGAGTTAATTATTGACTCACAGTCGCACAATACTATGTACAACTCCTCGGTTGTAAGAACCGCGTTACCGAATGTCCTTCTCAACAGTTCCTTTACTACACGAACTAACCTCTCCCACCAGCCTCTTGAAAGCGTATCTGCCGGGTTTAAATAACCTGGTACATGGCGCCAACACTGAGAAGGAATCAGACTGTTTATTTCTTTTACCCTATTCGTAACGAAAACTGGCCAATCACGACGGTTCTTAATCCACCAGAGTGCTACCATAGAATCACTCCATGCAGTAATTTTCAAATGAGGCAAGTCTAAGGCGGCGTATACTGAGTGAACCAGTCTCGTGCCAATGCAACAGGCCATCAATTCTAACCGGGGTATTATCAGATTTTAACGGCGCTAACCTGGATTTGGCTCTGATCAATCGAATTTTGACTCCCACGGGCGTTACAGTTCTAATGTAGACACATGCACCATAAGAGCTCTACACGTACCGATTTTGTCGGCCGACATTCTCGCAGAGGAACAATTTTCAGGATGTGCGCATGCGCTAAAAATCTGTCATGTTCTCTGCGACGATTTCAGAGCTAGTGTTCACCGCTCACTAGCCGACGATAAAATCGGCGACTCTAGCCAATTACAGTGAATTGCCAGAGCTATTTTTAACCTTAAATTTCGAGTAAAATTTTATGGAGAATTAATTATATGAAATATTTCCCCTCAATGATGCGTAATAAATATTTATTAATAATGTATGAAAAGCTATTTTTTTTAAAATTACAGATGATATTAAGACACAATAACACGCCGAATAAATACTAATTCAGAAGTCAAACAACAAAAATCAGCGTTATATTTACAGAATTTTCACAGGACTAGTTTCGATGGTTTTACCGAACCACCATCCTCAGCTGCAAAACCGCAAATGAAGAAGATAGGAAATAATGATTAGATAAAATAAGAAAGCCTGGACAAGAATAAGCAAGTGGTGCCATCTATTGGTGAAACCAGAACTAAAACATAATTTCTTTAAAGGCCGAAGGCAAAGTTGGATTGGAATTCGAGTCGTTAACTAGAACAAAAAGATTTTTTTGAATGTGAAACGCCTCTAGGAAAATCCAGTAATTCTCCAATGGAAGATGTTTTTTGAGTAATTTTAGGCCAGCAGAAAAATTGAAAAGTGTGATTTTTCGGACCAACAATGTTGAGCAACAGAGACTTCTGTTGTTTCCTTTTTCCTAACATATGCCTCATGTTCCTTGACGCAAAATTTCAAGGCTCTCTTAGTTGGCCAATGTAAATTAAACCACACTGGCAAGGAATCTTATAAATACCCCAGGAATTCATATCCGGAATGGAGTCCTTGAGTATGGAACTCGGAATTTTATTGATGGGAGAATAAACAACCCGAAAGTTAAATTTCTGCAAAATATGTGCAACTTTATAGCTAATTGATGGAAAGAAGGGAATGACAACAGAATTTTTATAATCTCCTAAAACAAGAGTATGCCTTTTAGTGTGTTGGATGAGAATTTTTTAACTGCTTCGCCAGCCCGTTCGCGGGATTCGAACCTCAGATCGAACTACCAGTGTTCAGCGTCTTTACCACTCGGCCGCTGGTGGGCTATTTAATTAAGGAATGACAATCTAAGTTTAGAAACAGCATACCGTAACAACAATTCAATTATTGGCGCCGTATCTTTCATGTTACTCCCGATTGGAAAGCTACATGATTTTTAATGAGTATTCGGGTTTTGCTAGTAACCTCACTTGTGTATTTAATTATGGCAAAGCACACTAGGGCTATCTTCCTAAGGGGAGGGATGCCTTCGTGGGGGACTTTCTAAGGGAACCGGCTCGTATACACGTTACACATGGGGAAAACCAAGAAAACATCCATGCAGCCAGCCCGTTCGCGGGATTCGAAGTTCAGACCGAACTACCAGTGTTCAGCGACTTTACCGCTCGGCCGCTGATGGGCCTAACTTCACTTGGAAATCGCGCTTAAACTAGGTTAGTTGGTTATTTGAACATAGAAAGAACATGGGAGCTATTTGATTAAGATGCTTTCATAGAGAACCTTTGTAAAGAGAACCTGGAAAACTACGAAAACCAACCATGCACAGCCTGGGTTAGACTTCGCAACAAACAATTAGTATTTAACAATCTTCAATGCTAGGCAACTGGTGAGGTCCAATTAAATCTCCAATTTATATTTTATTTGTAAATATTTAAAATATTTTTGTATTCATAGACACAAAAAGCAGAATTAAGTTTTGTTAACTCGTTAGTAAACTACCAAACCGTAGTGCAAATGAATATTCAATTTCTTTTGCAATACTTGTATTCAGTTAATATTCTTTAAATATGAGCTAAAGAAGGAATGTTCTCGGAAGATTAAAGAAGTGTTTAAATCCAGTGATATTAGGTTTGTCTTACAAGCTCAGGTATCAAAACGATTCTGCAATTACCCGAGTATTGACTTGTAAATGGCTGTGAATTAAGCAGGTGACTTTTAATCTTAAGTTATTCAGTCAGAAAACATATTCCAAATGTTTTGTACTGCATGAGAATGCATCTTTACATTATTCAATAACCAATCGGAGAACCGCTTGTATTCTGAAAATAAGTATGTGTACTCAATCGTCCTGCATGTTCATCATATTTTTCTTCTTGTGATTTTTTTTCTTTCCCAAAAACTAAAGTTGCCTCTCAAAGGAAAGTTTTTTTGACATTGAAGAGACAAAAGGAGTATGACATCTACTTTTAGAGGCATGTCAAAAACAAATCTCTACAAGCCTTCTCTTCCATTACACGTTGTGCATTCAGACAAAAAGTTGCATTGGCGTAAATTCTATAATCTATTTTTATTACACTCTGATTATTTTATTAACATACAGTGAATGTTTACTAAATCTTTTACTTCAGCTTATGTAATTCGGAATTTTTGACGGAACTGTTGTCGGAACTAGGACTTAGAAGATAAGTCAAATTAAATATTTCGATAACCCCATAAATTCAAGGTCGAAGTTTCAATATTTTATTTTCGGAGGGAGGGAAAATTTTTCACTATTGGTCCAATATCCTAAGTATATTTGCTTCGATTGTTTATTTTTCCATAAAAGCGAAAATTTTACGCATGGTATACATATAACGCATAGCTTCAAATTAAAATTTAATAATATACAGAGTGGTTATAATTAAAGTTTCACATTGAAACTGTCATAAAAGGAAAACTACTGGATCAAATGTTATCAAACTTGTAAATCGTGTAAAGGAGGTCATGGAAATTTATTTTCCCGCGAAAAAAATAAAGTTCGAAACCTCACCACAAGGGGAAAAATGGAACTGTATGCAATATTGTTAAACGAAATATGGGTCGGAATCTAACTTAACCTTTTGTTACACGGGTTTAATATGTTGTATACCATTAAGAAACTTTGAAGTAAGCAAATTACCATTTAAAGGCGTTAAATTCGATAAACGTCGAGTGCGCCATCCGTGTAAGTGAGAAATTCGTCCTTGAAAACCACGAATTAACGATTAGAAAATGTGAGATCGCAAATCACTCGTACAAGTGCGTACAATCTGGAAATCGTTTTCTTACAGATCGCTAATTTGTAAATTTTGAAGCCTGAATTCGGCCCTAAAACACGAAGCTACTGATTCAAAACGCTTTTAATCGATTTGGGCTAAAGAAATCCCTCATGTTATCTATCTGGTTCCATTGCATTCTCCTACTGCATTCGATTGAATAGCAGTCATTCCACACCGTTTGGTGTTGAAAGACAGCTAGTTTTATAACTGAACCATTTTCTCTGAAGAACAGTCGACAGCTGGACACTGTGTTTGCAACTCGCTTAGAGTCAATGTTAAAATGTTTCGTGATACATGAACTGCAGTAACGTGGCATTTTAGATACTACGATTTTTATGCAGGGCTGCGCTCCACCTCACGTGTGTCGCAGAGTTACTTAGGCAACATTTCACGAATGAATGTCTTATAGGCCGACACTTCCCCTCTTCCCACCAGACCTCAACCTCTGTAACTTTTGGTTATGGGGTTATCTCAAAAGCACTGTTTATGGTGATAATCTAAAAAATTTGACAGAAATGAAAAAATGTGCCCTGAACTGCCTGCCTTTCCTTCTTGTCGGTATCCGCCTCTATGATGAACTTCGATTCATTGCGAAACACAGCTATAAACTTTTTAAGAAATTTTAATTCATATGAAAGATATCTACAAAATATTTACAAATTATAATGATTACAAGCATAATTTATACGGAGACGGTCTATCGTTATACATCTGTTAGACGCGTCAGCCGTTCAACTGACTACTTTTTAGTCTCTTTCGCCAGAGGGCGTCCGTAGAGTAAAGTTCTAGTAAGCAAACGCGACACCTGGTTTTCCCCATGTGTAACGTGTATGCGAGCCAGTTTCCCTTAGAAAGTCCTCCACGAAGGTATCACTTCCCTTAGGCAGATAGCCCTAGTGTGCTTTGTCATAATTAAATAAACCAAAACCTCTTGAGGAAACTAGTCTTTCCTTTCATCTCATACCTTCAAAATGTTTAGCCTCTAAAGACTGATAAATGCTCTGACCAAATACTTCGTTAAGAACTTTCTAAGGGAAACCAGCTGGCATACACGGTACACATGAGAAAATCCACAAAAACGCCCATGCAACCAGCCCGTTTATCGGGATTCGAACCCCGGAGTGAACTACCAGTGTTCAGCGACTTTACCGCTCGGCCGTTTGTGGGCCTTTATGAAATGGAAGGCGATAACTTTATTTAAAATGATTGTCAGAAATACCAAGATATTTCGAAAAGTTGGATGCTTTTTAATATATTTGCAGAATGCCTAAAGAAAAAGAGCAAGAATAAAGTAGAATTCCTGAAGAAAAAGAGAAGAAAAAATAAATTTTTGATAAAATTTAGTATTTGTATTTTTTTTTAATTTAAAACCTTTTAATCTTATGATATTTGATTCTTGGGATTTCAAAAATAAAATATTTGACTAAAATATAAATAACATTTTAAGAAACCAAATGTAGGATAAAATTGTGTAAAGCAATGGGCACAATGATAAAACTGTTTAAAGCAGTGTATGCGAGTCATCCTAAGTTAAAATGTCGGTTATACATCTCTCTTATTTATATATATATATCTTTTCTGAACGGAACATTGAAAGGCGTGTTAATTGTGCTTTACTGTATTTTCTCTTTTAATATATGCAGTTTTCAAACGCATCGTAGTCTGGGTTGCAAAGTATTCTTCCGAAAGAAACGCAATTCAAATAAATAAAATCAAATTCTGGAAAATTTATATTAATAAATATATTTAAAACGCTCAGTTCGAAG